CTGGAGTGCAGTGAGACTGCTCTCTCAATTAACATTTTTGTTTTGTTATACTTTCAATCCAATTAAATTTTATTTATATAGCACCAATTCATAATATAAAATTTTCAGAGAGCAAGTCTAGATCGTACTCTTTGTAATAATATTAAGAGAGACCCAACAATTCCCACTATGTGCAAATATGTGGCAACAGCTAAAAAGGAAAAACTCCCTTTTTAGCAGAACCATGACAGGGTGGGTGGCCATCTGCCTCAACCATTTGGGGAGGGGGGGTGGGGGGATTAATCCGATCGACTTCAGATTTGGGCAGTGCAATGTAAAAACCTTTGCGATGCTAAATGCGAAGCTTTTAAGGATTCATCAAACTCACACATAGTGCTTTAAACAGGATTTATTCACTTTTACAAACCAGTGAGCACAATATTAATGATAAAAGAGAACATTCACAAATTTGTACCAGTACTATTTATTTCAAAAATACAATCCACAATGACTTCATGAAGTACTTAATACATGCAACATGCTATAGAAGCTGTGAATGCATGTCCAGTCAGAAAAATAATACTAACTGATGAAAAGTTTGGATTGATTGAAATGCAAATTCTGTGACAAGCAAGCCAAAATCATCAACTTTAATGACTGAGGTTAACTTTGATGATGATGTGTCATAATTATAACAATCAAAGTTATGAGTTAGTATCTCAGAATTATGAGTTACACCCACCTGCCCAACAACAAAGCAGGGGAGAGGGTCTTTCAGAAGGGGCGAAGCCTGGCAGTGTTCAGATGATCTGCATCCTCCCCTCTGTGTGCACTCGTTTCCATATTTTTCCTTTACTGCTGCTTGCTTATCTCATGCAGGGTGTTGACACGGACTCCATTACTGTGTTTGACACCAAGAGCTGGCACAGAAAACACCAGCTGTTTGTGCGGATCTTGGGTGGGTGCAGAGGGTATCCTCTTCTTAGGAGCAGCAGCTGACCAGACGTACAAGCACCAGAGACTCTACATTTTCAGCTCTGGTCTAGAGATATGTGCAGTTGTGAGATTGTCCAGGACCTCCTTCCCCACACAAGGTTGTATTTACATGTTGTTCTGCAACTTCAGGGGGCCTGCAAAGATTTTCATTGTTCATTTTTTCAGAACACATGGGAGGCATTCACATTGATGGACTTTTATATAAAAAATAATCAATCACCGCAGATTCTTTTGAGACGTTTACTGACCACACGCAGACACACAAATGTGGTGGAGAATCCTCTGAAACATCTGGGGTGGCTGCAAAGTCTTATTTCATGTCTGTATGTGGTGGGTGTTTTTTCACCTGTTTCCATTTGTATTTTGGTGACTCACCACTAAAGTGGGAGGAGAGCTGTAGTAGAGGTTGTGTCTTGGATACTTGCTCTGCTTGCTTGCTTAGATCAAGTCAGAAATGCATGCCGCAGCAGTGCTCTGTACTATATTTATATTAAGAGAAGCAAGCACAAACAGGTCCCATTCAGAATCCTTCACTTTGGTGGATACTAAGATAGTTTAACTTTATTATGAATTCCCAACATTTTCTGTTTATAGAGGTTTACATGTGGCTTTGGTGAGAATGAATATCATCCAAAAAATACAGTCACAATGATTTTAAGTGTGAGAAGCAGCTGCCTCCTCTATATATATGTCATCTACCATGACTCCTAGCCAAAAACCCTCTGTGATGTGCTGCGGCTTCTGTTTGGCTCTTTGCCTGCAATCATTAAACTCTTTAATGACTATTACTGACCAGGCTGAAGGCAGTTTCAACTGGGTATGTAACCTCCACACTCTTGAGTACCAGTGAAACTGTGTCCATAGCAGTCAAAAACTGTGAAATGTGAAAGATTGGCACCTCATGCGTGGTCAGATTCTGTTGTTTACTCATTAAATTATTTTAATCTGACACGGTATTGTATTTAGGCAAAGGCAGATGTACAGTTGTACAAGGGCTTTGCAAGTACAGAACTCAGGGATCTTATGGAAACAGCTGTAGATCATTTTTTAGAAAGACCCTAATTTTTAGGACACCCATGACACGGTGGTGAAGTAGTAAGCGCTGTCACCTCACAGCAAACTTGAATACCAACCCAACGTCTGACACTGCTGGCTGCTCTGCCCTACAGTAGGAAACAGGCTCCCTCTTGTGGAGGACGCTATATCTAATTTTTTTTTTTAAGTTGGTGAAAGGACACTGTTCTCAGCCCTACTTTCATTGGGTTTTATGCAGGAAAAAAAACATAGTAGTAAACTTGGCATAGCCCAACTCCAATAGCGTTTGGAAAACTTCAAACTTGACCTGACGTTTTTTATCAATGCATTCTACTAACACAGCTACACACTCTCTGTGCAGACAAGGATTTTCTGTCTCTGTGCACATTCCTCCTTTACGGATGTTTGGCAGCAGCCAGCGCAGAGTTTAGCCTGCACTGACTCTTCTGTTGGCTATAGCAGCAGCAGCAGTAGAAGAACAGCATGCTTACTGTAACATGTGTCCACTGAGTTTGTGAGTTAGCAACAAATATATTTTAAAATCTATGTATTATACATTAGTTAGCAACTTATTTTTTTCTTTTTTTCGTCTCAATGTGATGGGGTGCCCTGTTGTTAGGTTAGCAGGATGTTCCATTTGCTTTCCACACACACATACCATGTCAATAATGTGTTTTCATTTCTCGCGAGAATTAGCTGGGTCAATAGCTGCTGGTAGATTTCAGCCTTTCTCACTGACCTGATTGTGCAATTATTATCCCGCTGTTTCCTCCGTAGGCCTGGCTATCAAAACAAAAGGTGCACCAGAGAACACGAGCGTTGATATTTACATGTTGAAAACAACCCTTCCCAGCCACATGTGAATTTTATTTTTCCTACTTTTTATGGTGTGATTCCGGCAAGCACTTTGTTCTCGTCGCTCTCTATTATTTTTGATTTTGAATTGCAGAGCACCAGGCACACCATCACTATCCCTCTGTCTTATTGGTTTCCCTGAAGTGCGGAGCAGAAGGCTGCTGTTCCGCAGCATTCACACTATTCTTCTTCTTGCCCTTTATTATATTACTGTGTGCCTGAAGCGTGGAGCCCAAAGCACACATTGCTATTCCTCTGGCTTATTATTATTATTGTGTGCCTGTGCAAGTGGGACTTTGTCTGGGTAAATTGGCATTGTGATAGCTCACTGTTTTCACACAAGTTCAGATTGATGCTTTTTTAAAGACTTAATAATAAGTGTGTAATGCATGTAATTCAACAGTGGAGTGGAGGATCAGAGTGGGAGTTAAAATTCGCTCTATGAACATTATTTTGTTATCAAACCGTTTGAAAACTTGTTCCTCAGATAGTCTTATAGAATTTAACAGACCAACACATTTGGCTCTATGAGCTCGTACGTGTCAGAAACAAATATAATAATTTACTTTAGGGATTGGACTCAAGGTCTTCGCAGTAGAAGCAGGGGTTTGAAAGTGTGCGCCTCAGCGTTATTTTAATAGTGCCAGTTTTCCAACCTGCTTCAGTTGAGGTACACACTCAAATTTCACACTGTGTCTTCACTAGGGTGTCCATTAATCTGTTTGTTATGGCTATTGGACTCGCAGTCTAGCAACTGTAAACAGGACTTTGAGAGATCGATTCTTCATTAAATTAACTGTCTGAGCTCACTACAACACTGCCCCTCAGTGTACAATGGCTTAAGTGGGGCAGTTACTATGGCAACCTGTGTGTGTGTGTGTGTGTGTGTTCAAACAGCTCCTATGTTTTAAAGACTACAGGAATCATATATATATCAGCGTCTTCAGTGAAGCTCCATGCTACTCATAATTGAGACAGGTGTTCGATACAACTTGTAGCTTTAGAGCTGGGAGAGTATCTTCACTGATTGAGGGCCACACTTGGACTATCACCTGTACTGCTTATTAAGATTATTTTCGGGCCAATATTGCCCAGGTCTTTTGCAAACATAAAGCCCACCTGATGACCAGATGAGGTGTGACATCTTTTGACCATCTTCATTCCTACTCGTTATTATAAGTTCTAAGTTTTGGAATCATGCCGCGCAGATCACAGTGATGTGAAATAAGTTAGCTGATGAGTCGTCAGTCTACCTGCTTCATTTGCGGGTTTTGGTGTATGTTTGTTTAGCTGTGATGTTTACCAGTGGCAGTAGTGAGTTACTGGTCTGATAGGCTCCCATTCCAGCAGCCTCTAGCATCCTCATGGAGGAGGGAGACAAGGGCGTAGGTTACATTTCAACATTGGGGACACATATTAAGCTCAAGGTCTGGGGGCCACTCCCAGAAAGTTTTGAGCATTAAACACTTAATTTCCTGCATTCTGGTGAATTGTTCTGCACCAATTTCTGCCTTTTCTGCATCAATTTATGGTGGAAATGTCTTCATTTATGTAAAGGGAAACAACATTCAGGTGGCAGGTGACAATTCAAAATATAAAAATACAACATATATGAATTTGGTTTGGTTATTTTGGTTAAGTATTTTGTTAAGAAATGTTTTATCTCTGACTGTGCCATCTGTTGCAAGTAAAATACCCTGTAGAAAGAGGGAAGATATAGCTAATGTGTTGCATTAGCTTTGCGAGCTAACGGTCAGTAATGACTGAAATAAAGTGAAAATATAGCTTTGTTCCTCAGGTCAGGTTCTGGTCTAGAATTTCGCTGTACTAGTTGGTTTCAGTCGCTCAGGTCTTAAAGTCTGAGGTACAGGCTGGTTTGAAATAGGGCTGTGCAAACGTGTATTCAGTATGCACAACTGTGCTGCTGTCCGATTTCAGGTTGTGATCAATCTCATGATCTCGAATGACCAATCACTGCAGATGTAGTTACTGTACATTATTTGAGACCTAGCCTAGACACACTGTGCATTCCATATTACCCCTGTTTAATTCTGTTTTGTCGCTGGCTTTCAAATCATGAACCGAATGAATGAATGAAAATGGAGACTTAACCTTTACGTTCTGCTCTCTTGCAGCCACAACAAGTTGTCCAGAAGAAATCCACTCAGGTAAGAGATCCTAAGCATTGTGCACGTGCGCGCGCACACACACACACACACACACACACACACACACACACACACAGGGTCTGAAATTAGCACACGCCACAAGCAAAATGCGAGTACTATATTCCCTGTCCCTATATTCGACGGACAGGGAATATAGTACAGAAAGACACGTAGTAAGGTTAGCGTATTGTGGCGATTAGCGCACATGCCTGCGTCTCATACACACACACACACACCAATGAACTCAGGGAATACATGTGGCACCGTTTCAAACCAAACTCTCCAGTGGAAGAGGCCCAGTCACTGTGCACTAACTCCAGTGCTGTCCGAGAAAACACTAAGCTTGTCTTTTAGACGCAAGAAGTGTCGCTTTATTTTCATGGGCCAGTATTGAAACCATTTCTTGTTTGCTTGCTGTGGAGATTTGATCAGGATTCACATAGTGGTGGTTGAACTGTGGGTTTTGTATTGAGCACTGACCGTAAAATAAACTGTGGTGAACTTTGTGTTTCTTGTTGTTTGTTGGTACCTGTGAAATACCTGGTTGTTAAGTAAGGTGAAGGGATTGTCATGTACTGAAATACATGGGTCTTGTTTTTGTGTAAATATAGTGAACATTAAATAAACAACATTATTTACATTAAATGATGCCTAAATGAGCTGAATGTTTTTCCTTCATTTAGCACATACATTTCAAAAGTGGCTGATAAAATTTCCGAGTGGCAGACAAAAAAGAATACTAAAAGCCAATTTCAGAACCTGTAAGCAATATTTCAGAATGAACATATTGGTTTGCATTTTGTGCTTTCCAGTCAAATAAAATACTATTTTTCCAGTCGTATGTTTCTTCAAAGAGGATTTCTTAAAAATAGTATTAACATCTCATTTTGTGACACCCCTAGTCTCTATAAAAGAATACATCATTTGGAGGAGGTGGCTGTGTATTTATTGCATTTTTTCCTTGTCAGGTAAAATTAAGTTGGTTGTGGGTCTATTATTTGTTATATTGTGGGTCCATTGTGTTCAGATACTGCCATTGTCGTCGGTTTATGTAATGAAAGCATGGTTCTTGTCAGGCTTCTCAGAGTCTGGAACATTCACAGAGCTGCAGCAACAGTAACTCTGCCTGTAACTAAAGCTCACACTAGTGCTGATGATTTTACTTATGAAATGTTGGACATAGGTGAACTGTGGGATGAGACAGGAATTTAATTTCTGGAGCTCTCAGTGAAAAAAATCCAATGTAAACTGCAGTCAGAACATGTCTGACTCACATGTAGCAGATGATTAGATGTTGTTTTGGGATGTTGGTGTGAGCGCCTAAATCAGAGGGAGAATGAAGCATTCCCTCACAGGAATCCACCAGCCTTCCTCTGTTCACTGGCGAAGGCCATTTCTTGGTGTGAATGCATAACTCTGCTTTGATTTGTGGTTGTGTGGGAGCAGGGCTGAGGTAGTTGGGAATTGCTGTGAGGCCCTTGGAGCTGCAAGCCATAAAAATGTCATTTAGCTCTCCCACTTTGATAGGCTGCGTTATCTCAGCCCCACCACCAGCCTGTGCAAAACCTCAAATCCCTTTCACTCCAGTGCTCAGGGTGAGGTGGGGTGGATGCATGACCCAACCGGATGGTTGCATTTTCTTACTGAACTATGACACACACTCTTTCTATTTCATTGATTGTGTGCAAATCTGATGTTTTCACATAATGGCACTAAAAAAGCCCTACTTTTTAGCTCCACCTAACTGGAACAGATACAGGGCATGCATGACATACACCAATCAATTCTAAAGTCAATTTCAAATAACAAGCAAAAATGCTTTTCCTAAAATATGTAAGTAGTCAATACAACACCAAAAGATTGAGTGATTGTAGCATGTTACTTCCTTTCAGTGTACTTACTGTCACGATTGGTGTGGTTGAAAGGTTGGTGGAACCAAATGCAAGACACAAATACAGGCAAGTACAGTTCGATGATTTATTTTAAGGAAAACAAAAAGCGAGCACACTTACAAGTTGAGTGGCTGAATCCAAAGAAATCCAAAGTAATCACAGTCCAAACAAACAAGGCGATCCAACAGAAAATCCAGAAAGGGTATAATCCAAAAATCCACAGAACAAACAGGGAACAGGCAGGGCATGACACAGGACAAGACAGAGCATGACAAGCTACAATGACCGGACAGAGACTGAACAGAACAAGCAAACATAGAGGTGACAGGCAATCAGAACAATCAAGCACACAGACACACGGCAGGCAGAGGGAGTACAGGGGGGAACAGACAGAAGCAAATCTAAATGCAGAACATAAACTGAACATCATAAGGCAAAACTAAACACAACAGGGAACAAGAAGACTGAAACACTAAGAATACAGATAGGCCACGAACAAACACAGGGAGAACAGACTGAGACTAAAAGGTTGCAAAAGGCCAAGAATCAAACAACAAAAACACAGAGACCAACTAAAACAGGCAAACCGAATAATAAACTTAATAACGAGAACAGAACAGACTAAAGCAGAGTGATCAAAGTCAGATTAATTAATAATAATTAAATAAATAGACACCTTGCAGACAGACAGAACCCAAGCACGATGATACGGAAACTAATAACAAACATCAGAAAGAAACAGAACTAAGGCAGGCACAGATTATATCAAAATAAGACAGAACAGCTAAGACCAGAAAAACTACACAGAATAAGCAGAAGACAGAACAAACTCCACGAGACACAGACAGGACTGAAACCCAAAACACAGACCAGATAACAGATACTGAACAGACCAATAAATAAAACTCACAGAGAACTAAATCAGACAAGGCAGACAGGCAGACAGGCAGAATGTGACAGTTTCATTGTCTTTCTGTAGAGTAGAGATTGGATGTCATGAGAACCAATACTTCAGTACCAAGTCGAGACCAAAATTCGGAAAACATGTCGATACTCGTTTTGCTCGGTACGTGGAACATAGTAACAAGTGCAGCTGCAGCGACAGCTCTGTCCCAACTCGTAGAGATGAAAAGAGACATGTATGGAAACTGGGTGAAGTTAGTTTCATGGCTGTTATCTTCAATAACTCTGTGTCAAAGCTTTGATTTCCCCCAGTTTTGGGATATGTTGGCTAATTCAGGCAGGTGTTTCACAGCTTTGATCACCTCAAAATGACCAAAGGTGACGATGCAGTTTGCATCGCTAAAACTGAATTTATTCATTAAATATGTCCAGTGCAGTTGTTTTTTGTTTTTTTTCCCACTGTTTTATTGAATTGTTTTCACGAATATTCCTGGTATCTGTATCTACTACAACATTTTTGGTATCATGACATCCGTACTGCTAGCCAAGACTAATCTTGTGTTTGTCTAAAGCTTGTGTCTAGCAATATGGTTCCCACACTACCACCTATTTTCTCTACTGCTCTCATTACCCTTGTCACACATGGTAGCATTTAGTGAGCCTTTCAAGTGTGTGATCACTAATGAGTGGAGTAAGAGCTGCAAAATGCAGAGAGGCCGCAGACCTCTGCAGAATGGGTGCATCGCCTTGGTCCGGGAAAGGAAGAGGGCTGTAAATTGCGTCAGTTAGCCTCCCTGAATAAAATGAAGCCATGTGGAAAATGAAATACACTTCATCGGAGTACAGAGGAGGAAGATGTTTTTTTCTCCCCCCTACCAGTTGTCACAGTGGTCATTGTGCACTTTGAAAAACCGAGCAGCACTTCAGGGCCAAGAGGGAAATTTAGGGAGCCAACATTAACACTCCTGCACTCCATTTAGTCTCTTTACAGCCACTGATTTAGGCACATTTTCAATCTTAGCATAAAGAAATCTGAACGAAAACACGTCTAAACATCACAAAGTGTTTATGCTTGAGTAAGATGAAAAAGTAAAAGAAAGAGGGCTTGAGGTTTTGCTTTGTTACTTCACAGGCACAGCACATTGATGAATTGATGGACAATTGCTGCTGAGGCTACACACACTTCTGAAATCAGAGAACTTACTTTTTCCATAGAAAATCCGGTATACATTTGGTTAAATGTCCATTCACTAGCAGAGACCATACCGCCATAGATATGGATTTAGGATATTTTATTGTATGATACGAATGGAGAAGTGCCGAGATTATATGCCAGAACATACACTGCTCAAAAAAATAAAGGGAACACTTAAACAACACAATGTAACTCCAAGTCAATCACACTCCTGTGAAATCAAACTGTCCACTTAGGAAGCAACACTGATTGACAATCAATTTCAAATGCTGTTGTGCAAATGGAATAGACAACATGTGGAAATTATAGGCAATTAGCAAGACACCCCCAATAAAGGAGTGGTTCTGCAGGTGGTGACCACAGACCACTTCTCAGTTCCTATGCTTCCTGGCTGATGTTTTGGTCACTTTTGAATGCTGGCGGTGCTTTCACTCTAGTGGTAGCATGAGACGGAGTCTACAACCCACACAAGTGGCTCAGGTAGTGCAGCTCATCCAGGATGGCACATCAATGCGAGCTGTGGCAAGAAGGTTTGCTGTGTCTGTCAGCGTAGTGTCCAGAGCATGGAGGCGCTACCAGGAGACAGGCCAGTACATCAGGAGACGTGGAGGAGGCCGTAGTAGGGCAACAACCCAGCAGCAGGACCGCTACCTCCGCCTTTGTGCAAGGAGGAGCAGGAGGAGCACTGCCAGAGCCCTGCAAAATGACCTCCAGCAGGCCACAAATGTGCATGTGTCTGCTCAAACGGTCAGAAACAGACTCCGTGAGGGTGGTATGAGGGCCCGACGTCCACAGGTGGGGGTTGTGCTTACAGCCCAACACCGTGCAGGACGTTAGGCATTTGCCAGAGCACCAAGATTGGCAAATTCGCCACTGGCGCCCTGTGCCCTTCACAGATGAAAGCAGGTTCACACTGAGCACATGTGACAGACGTGACAGTGTCTGGAGACGCCGTGGAGAACGTTCTGCTGCCTGCAACATCCTCCAGCATGACCGGTTTGGCGGTTGGTCAGTAATGGTGTGGGGTGGCATTTCTTTGTGGGGGCCTCACAGCCCTCCATGTGCTCGCCAGAGGTAGCCTGACTGCCATCAGGTACCAAGATGAGATCCTCAGACCCCTTGTGTGACCATATGCTGGTGCGGTTGGCCCTGTGTTCCTCCTAATGCAAGACAATGCTAGACCTCATGTGGCTGGAGTGTGTCAGCAGTTCCTGCAAGAGGAAGGCATTGATGCTATAGACTGGCCCGCCCATTCCCCAGACCTGAATCCAATTGAGCCCATCTGGGACTCATCATGTCTCGCTCCATCCACCAACGCCACGTTGCACCACAGACTGTCCAGGAGTTGGCGGATGCTTTAGTCCAGGTCTGGGAGGAGATCCCTCAGGAGACCATCCGGGGAGGTCATACAGGCACATGGAGGCCACACACACTACTGAGCCTCAGTTTGACTTGTTTTAAGGACATTACATCAAAGTTGGATCGTCCTGTAGTGTGGTTTTCCACTTTGATTTTGAGTGTGACTCCAAATCCAGACCTCCATGGGTTGATAAATTTGATTTCCATTGATAATTTTTGTGTGATTTTATTGTCAGCACTTTCAAGTATGTAAAGAAAGGAGTATTTAATGAGATTATTTCATTCATTCAGATCTAGGATGTTATTTTAGTGTTCCCTTTATTTTTTTGAGCAGTGTATTAGGGATCCGGATGGAGGGATGACGAAGAAGAGTGAGGGGTCGAGGGATGTGGGGATGAGAGTCGAGGGTAGGGGGATGAAGAGTGATGGATGAGGAAATGGAAACGTGAGGGATAGAGGGTTGAGGGTAGGGAGGGATGGATGGATGAGAATGATGGTGGCAGGTAAGCAGGAGACGCAGGGCAGGTGAGCCCCCTTTTCATGTGTTCTGGAACGTCGTCAACTGGCGGAAGGGAACCAGGGGAGCGGAGGGTGTGAGGGAAGTGTCTTTTCATGTCCTGCAGATAGAGCCCCCAGTGGTTCCTACATTCACACAAAGGAGAATGAGAGAAGAGAAAAGGAGAAAGGGGTTTGGGTGGGAGAGGTGTGCTTAAATACTCTGAGTGGAAATGTGATGTGTTCAAGGCGTGGTCTAGTTTATTAAACTTCATTAAATCCACTTGAAAATAATACACAAAAGATGCTCCTTATGCGTTCCAAGATCCTTTCTGACAGAAGGCAGCAGGTGAAGCTGGGGTCTGTGACTCCCAGAGCATCAGCACTGGTTCTCCCTTCACCATAAGTTGTGCATTGCGGAAAAAAGCTTGTTTGGTGTTCCACAGGTTTTATTTTTTTACTCATTATCAGAAATGTAAGCCTGGCGCCTTGCACGCCTTGACAGCAGACTGTAAACAGGTGAGCTGAAGTTAGGGACTGCCTTAAAAGTGCATGCAAATGGTTCAAATGGAGATTTTTGTCAGTAGCTATCTTTTCTTTTTCCAAACAAATTTTATTTTGATCTGAGCCTTATATACAGGAACTCAACTTACCCTCTCCAAGAGATATCATGTCTTGGAAGACTGAGGTTTTCATGAATAAAAAACATGCTGTATAGCACCACTGACATGCAAATTAGTGGCATTTCTGAGTAGCCCAGCTACTTGAAAAATTGTTAAAATAACAATTTAGCTGTCTGCTAACAGACTGCATGTAGGGAGAAATAAAGTAAGTGGAAAACTGACACATTTTGTGTATGTTTCAGGTAATGTTACCAACTCACATTACCTTGACATTCAGCTTACTTTGTAGTTGCTGTTGTTGTGATGTTAGCTATAGCAACAGGAGAGTTGTATCGCTGGGTGGAGCTGGTGTGCTTTCTCTGGGACCGTCTCGTCATCTCTTCATGTTAGCTTCACAGCAGCAACTGTAACCACAGTATGTTAACCAACAACTTAGCTAGCGATAGTTACATTACTTGCTGTGTTGTTGTTCATGCTATTTAATGGTATTTGTCATGGAGATGGATCTGTCCAGAATACCCTGCCTTTACCTGAATGACATGTTGCCTTGACTTAGCTTGTAAATCATGCCAATTTCCTGTTGAGATTAACAATTCACTCTGTGACCATGTTGAATTTAGCTGCTTCATTAACCCTTTGAATAAGTAACTTAGCAGCTCTGGTTGCGGTCATCTTGTGGAGCCACTCTCATAATGAAATAAACAGGCCTGAAAGAGTTAAAATGACACTGACCATCTTGTTTGTATTTACAGGAAGAAGAAGGTGAAGAAGAGGCTGAAGAGTCCCCAGAAGAGGACTAAGCTTCCACAACGTGAGACCTCTACCTCATTCAGCTGTCAGGTCTTTGAAAGGGAAAAGACTGCCTTGACCACTTATTTTTGACTTTTTCTACATGGGATGTTACACGGTTCGATTTCAGAGCATTTCCATCTTTGATCTGTCACTGAACAGGCAGAGATGTGCAGTACATGTCTGCATTTCTAAATTCCTTTGATACATTTTTACACAGATTTTTGTACAGATGCTGCAATATGGGGGAGATCAAAAGAAACCAGTACTAGTAATTGTAGTGCTGCCAGCTACCTATAGGCTGAACAGATAAGTCCAGACATTCTGCCTGTAAAAACAGAAACAGGTTTGGCAGCAATGGACGTGTCATCGGCCCCGTATCACAAACTTACTCTTCTCAATGAGAATAAACTAAAAACATACAGCAACCGACAGACACAAGAAGTAAGTATGGCCGCACCCCAAATGTCTGGAATTGTGGTTCAGGGCATTAGCAGGGGGTGCTTCATTCTGAAGACTACACCTTTGTACTGAGGTGCAAATCAAACGCACTCCCAGTGCCACTGTAGAGCGGGCGCTCTCTCTCTCTCTCTCTCTCTCTCATATAGACAGACACAGATGCACAGACTCTTTCACTCACCCTGTCACTGTTAACTGATTCTCCCGACACTGACGGCAGAAAAGAGAACAACATTGTTTCAATTCCAGCAGCCTGGTATTGTCTTATAGAAATGTAGAACAGATGTCCAATATATCAGGGTTGGTTCTAAACCAAGCCAATCCGCCCACCGCTCACCCAAACTAGTGTTAGACCACCAAAGACAGAGAGACACAGAGATCTTTCCTCAGGGCAGTGATTTATCCATCGTGTTGGCTTAAAGCCATTTAGAAACATGCTTGCTGAAGCTGTTAGCATTGGCTCAGATTTAACTTTATCATCAGACTGAGTCTTCATACATCATCTATACTTTTACAACATGGCCATCTTTCTGTGGCTTCTCTCTCTGATGATATCCAGAGAAGAAATGGCACGCAATGCAAAGGTTGGTCACTGGGTGAACCTGCAGCGCAGTCTGGTCTCCTGACATTTGGTGAAAGTGCAAGTTTTAATTGTCAGTAAAGATATAGGAATTGAATCTGAATTTGAAAATCTGGACGTAAAAGACCTATATGAATAAGAGACCTGAATGGATCTCTGGGTTGAACAAATCCATCTAAATAATTACATTTTCTATGGGACAACACAAAAATGGCCGAAAAATAAAACTAATTATGTGATTGTTGAAACCATTTGCTATTTTGTCAGAACATCAACAAAAGTGCCTAAACTGTATTTAAAGCTTTCATATTGATACATCTTTGATCAGGACTGGACTTGCTAGACCAGAAAATCAGAGCACTACATGATCTCTGCTTTGCTCTCCCTGTTGTTGGTGGACTGACAGACCTCTTTCATTGGTCTAGAAAATGCTAGAACCTCTTTACATCCTGTCGGTGCTCCACTACCAAACTGTTTGACTTTGCATCAGACTACTGTAGACCGTTTGTTAACAATAACAACAAGCTCATGAACATAGCTTCATTCAGTTTGTTTCATTGCGCAACAAAGCTTTAAAACCGTGATTCCATCATTGATGTCACACTGCAAAGAAATCCAGGCTTGGTCTGCCTTACAAAAGAAAAACCTCAAGAACAAAAACCACATGAACAAACCACACTTTACCTCATGACACATTTACCTGGATTTAGTGGCAGCGTGACATTGGACAACTCATCTCGCACTGTAACTCCAGTGAACCTAACGTTTTAAGGAAAACTGATAGTCAGCGCTTTCTGGTCACTGATATGCAATACCTTCTCCTGATTTCAAACTACCTCTGACTCAGCACAACCAGCTTGTGAACGCTGTCGCTCAGTACACACCAACCAACGCACAGGAAGGCAGTGTACGTTCAGATATTTGATAATGTGTTGTAGCGTTATGCTGTACATTAACGAGGTCATGCCGGTTGTTGTCTTGTCATGGGGGAATTTGTTTGCAACTGTTTTGTTTGATTCAGGCGAACCCTACAGAATCTGTAAAGAAGCAAAAGTCAGAAATGACAGAGAGACAACATCAACTGCTTATTTTTTTCAATTGACCATCTTTTCTGTTGGTTATGATGGGCCAGTCAAGTGCTTTAACAAGGTTAGAAGCAGTGCAAAGACATGGTATCCATGCGGATAACATAACATAATATTTTAACAGAAATAAGCTTTCAGTTTCAACATTTTTTAAAGTAAAAACCTTAATGATACAGTTGGGATGTATTTCTACGTAAGGCGATACAAGTTCCTGATTGTGTTTTCTAGATGCAACCATTAAACTAAGGATTTGTTTGTTTGATTATTTATCTGGTGACTCCAGAGCTCTGACTGAGATGTGGTCATAACCTTCAGGCATGATGGTCAAAACTATGAAAATACGACGCAAGTTGTTAAAAAAGAACCCTAAATTTTACTTTACTTGGAGACAGACTCTGAAGCCTACAGTTCAGCATTTGTAATTTCCATATCCACATGTCCGTATATTATGTTCAGATGTTACAGTCACACTGAAAGCCAGGTATTTTTTGCAGTTACATTTTCAGCTTTGGTTGTCTCCATACAAAATATGTCTATAAATGTGTAAAATATTTTTTTTAATGTACATGATCTAATTTCATTAGAATATGTGTGAATTATATTATATATGTTACTCTTGTTAAGCGGGGCTGTATCCTCTAATATGTTTTTATATATATAAATGTAATATTTAAGGAGTCCAATCAACACCTTTTGAGTGAAGCTGTTCAGATGCAGTCTTTAGAGTTTGTCTCCATCAACCCTTGTGCACTTGGCTTTCTTTAGGGATTCCAAGAAAAAGCCGTGATTCAGTGGTCTGTTATACATAAAGCAGCAAACCTATTAAGTACTGTTTTTTTCTCATTTGCCTTAATGTTAATTTGTATCTCAACATTGTAATGAAACATATTTTTCATTATCTGTAACTTGGGACTTTTTTAACAAACTTGAATTTATTTTGTACTGATTAACACAGGGGTTTAATAAGCATCCAGAGTTTGTCTGACACTACATGATATAACACGTTTCTTTGTTATTTTTTGGCTTTGAATAGCTAGAGTTGTTTTTCCTGAGTTATGTACTGTACCTCAAACAAACCGATAAAAATGGACAAATCAGTTGTCACGTACCTACCTCCAGTCTTGAAAAGGAATGCTTTTGCCAGTTTACTTTCAGTATGAGTCACATTAATGTATAATATGATCTATATCAGGACTGCAGAACCTTACTTAAAGTATTGTATCAGATCAGTCAGGCTTCCAATTTCAGTACATTTGGATTCTCACCTTCAACTTGACTTTCAGGTTTTGAAACACGTATGTTTTGAGTTTGAATTTGTATATTGTATTCATGAATATGTTTTCTTGTTTTTAATTAGTAGATATCACTATACTTGATTAGCTGCTTTGTGTACTTCACACAAATGTGATTTTCTTTTCTTGTGATATGGTTAAACCAGATGTATATGGAATTGCTTCATAGTGATGGAATATACCATTTTTCACCTGTCACCAGACAACCTTTGAAAAGTGGTATTTGAACTGGGCCAGAGGTAGAACCTCAGAGGAGCTACACTGATCCGGTCAACCTGCCTTCACCAGCAACACTAGTATGGAACAGTAGCAGCTTAACAGAGGTTGTGGTAATCTCTCACTAACCAACAATCAGCACAGTGTTCTGGACCATGAAGGTGCCTTCAAACTGAATGCAAAGCAAATTCTGATCTTGCATCATTCAAATGTTTCCCCTGTACTGCAGTCCGTGTTTATTCATCGCAAACAGCCAGTATAACAACTGTACGGATTTTAGCTGTAGCTGGTAATTAGCCAGCAACATACTCAACTAATTGTTATGAATAATGATTTTTTGCTTTTGCTAAGGAACAATATGTTAGTAGTAGTACATAAAAAACAATGGATGCTGGTGTTTAGCAAATCACATGCCGCTGTAGTTTATATAGCCCCTAGATGGGAATTTTTTGCTCAAGTTGAAACATTTTCGACTTGTGCAGGCGTGTCATTGCCTAAAAATCACATCGCCAAAGTCACATTCGGGTTTGTTCGTGTTGACTCATACACCTACCTTGACTTTATTTGCAGACACATTAGGTTTAATTACGCTACACCCTTTTCCATGTAAGACATTTTCACATGTCATAGTAGGAAAAGCACAGGTGTATGTAATATCATTAATAAAGAATTCCATTGAGCCGCTTCAGTTTCAGGGTCCTGCTACTGTGCATGCTGACTTACTGTCAAGGTTTTAAGGACATGTGAATAACGCCTGTGCTGTTCCTACTGTGACAAGGCAAAAAGTATTGTGTGAAAAAGCCTATTATATGTGCTCATTTATTTCACAAAAGAAGATACAGCAACAGCATTGGACAATTTTTTTAATATATTATATTTAGTAAATGTATTTATTATATTTCACATTTGACAAAGCAAGATTATGTACGTCCAATCTTTGTGCTAGGTTGAAGCTAGGCTAAACCATCTCTTTACTGGACAAATAGAGATGACACATATCTCACCTGACAAAAATCTGATTAGTATATTTAGGTGTAAATTCACTGCTAACCCACTTTCAACATCATGGCTTGCAACGTTTTAGTCCTCACGGGACTACATCTCCTCCAGTAATGACAAGTTAGCGGAAGATAACGAACATATCCAGGCACTGCAGAAAATGCTGTTTTTACTAATCCAACCAATCCAAACAGAGAGAATCACAAGCTGCCATTAAATCAGCTACCTAAGAATGCTGTATAAACTGTGTGCAAAGGGTAAAGGCGGGTTGATCAGTAGCTTTTGTGAATGACTTTGAAACAGACTGGCTTCATCATTTGATGAATCATTAAACACCACAATTATCAGCCAGCCAGACCCCATGAAGACCAGGTATTAACATGTGATCTGTATAAGGAAAAAAGCACACAGAATGTGATCTGAACCAGACAGTGTATCCAGGTACAGATCACACGATGATACCATGTGTACATGGCGTCTAACTGAGTTTTTTAACTTGAACATTTGTCATGAGTTTAGTTCAGTAGAGTTTAAAACGCAAGCTATTGACTGTAGTTGAATGACTGTAGAAGCCACTGTTGACAAGCTTTCAGCTCTGGGAGTCTTAATGAAGGTGATCTTTTCTCTTCATGATATCATTTTCCAGTACAATCAAATACACATTACTACCTCCAGAAAGGCCTACTTTTACCTCATTTTCAAACTCAAATACTGTTTAGAATTCAGGTGTGTGAGAGCATATTGTGAACATGATAAAATGATGTATATGTACATATATATATCTATCTATATAGATATATATATGTACATACATTTTTCTCTGCCTCTTAGTCACCATTGGGTAAGACTAGATATGTAGCTAACCTCTGAAAAGGACTTTTCTTACCATATGCAATGTTTTGTAGTTAGCTGTGAGGGAAGTGGAGAGATTTCCCAGCTCTCCCTCTGCCTTGCTCCTTGTATATTATTTCAAAAATCTTTTACAGTATCTAATGTTTATTTCTTTCTCTATCCTAGTATCCTCTATCTAGTATTCTTCAATTTCTCAAAAAAAATGTGCTTGTTTGCTAAAAAAAAAAGTCTTTATAAATATTCACTGCATTCTATTCAGCACAATAAAAAGTATGTCATCAGTAACAACGACGTGTGTTTATTATTTCTGTAAATCAACTTATTTACAGTATACAGTACATTTTACAGTAAGGCTGTGTTATAATAATAATAATTATCACGGCGGTGGCTGTTCGGGCTCTAATAATAATACACTTATATTGCATGGGGGGTGTAGCTGGGGCTCAGGAGGTAGAGCAGGTTGGCCGTTAATCGGAAGGTCGGCGGTTCGATCCCTGGCTCCCCCTGGTTGCGTGTCAAAGTGTCCTTGGGCAAGATAAAGAACCCCGATTTGCCCCTGGTGGCTGTTCCGCCAGTGTATGAGTGAGTGTGAATCTTAGCTTCCGTTTGAGCACTTAGGCTCAGTGTATGAATGTGTGTGACTGGTGAATGCAGATGTAGTGTAAAAGCGCTTTGAGTGGTCGAAAAGACTAGAAAGGCGCTATACAAGTACGGAGCATTTACATTACATTTAGCTCAAAGTGCTTTACAATAAAGTGAACAAACTTCTTGATAAAAACCAAGCAATCAAACCAATCAAATGAATAAACAAAAGAATGCTATGCTATGCTAAGAACAAGAGAATATGTGAAAGATTGATTGATTTGAACTATAAACCTACTATACCCAGACTGATAGGTAATCGCTCTACAAGTAATTTGAATGTGACTACCATAGTGTTACCCTATCACCCTCTCCTGAATCTGTGCCATAACAAACTGGTGTGCCATTCAGAATTAGCTGTTTTTCAAATTGTTTTATGGACTATAATCCCACGGACATGGCAAACTCTATCATTATTATCTTATTGGTATAAATGCTATGCTTTTATATGTATATATGTATATAGTGTTTTTATCCTTAACCTTTCCTGTCCTATACTCCTTATGTTAGTCTGTCCACATTTACTAGGATTTAGGTCAGAGCTGTGAGATTGTTTTCCCCTCTTGTTGTTCCTCTCCTCTCCTGGAATGTTCATTCAAGGCTGAGAGAGGATCTCTGTTCTCCCAAAACATAGAAACCTAGACTGTAAATGATAATGCATCCCTTTGCTCTGGGCCAGATGCCCGAAGCCGCCCTAGGCGGCAAGTCTCTGGACCAGCTGTTAATGTGTTTAAATACTTCTCTGTTTAATGTTCCATCCCTAACCTTAAACATACTGTTGTTGCTATGCACAGATATTGTACAAAGAAAGACTAGAAAAAAAACTTGGCATCCATCATCAACCACTTATTCGGCATACGGGGGGGCTGGAGCCAGCCCATCACAGGGCCACAGATAGACAAACAACCAGTCACACTCACATCCACACCTAAGGACAATTTTGGAGATGAATGGTGGGAGGAAATAGCATCATAGAATATAAATAGCATCACAGAGTACGGTCTAGACCTGCTCTTTTATGAAAAGCGCTGTGAGATAACTGTTGTTGTGATTTGGCGCTATATAAATAAAATTGAGTTGAGAGAACCTATGCGGACACAGGGAGAACATGCAAACTCCACACAGGAAGGCCGGCATAACTGGGGTTTGAACCCCCAACCTTCTTGCTATGAGGCGACAGTGCTAACCACTGAACCACCACGCCGATGAATATCGGTGAATATCGGCAATGAATATTAAAAAATGTAACGCAACATAGGGTTTGGAAAGATGCCCTCCCAAGAAAAACAGCGCCATCATTTCAGCAAGTGCCTCAAAACAATACCTGTGACGTTATAGTTTACTACATCAGACTATGTTTGTTTCCTGTTTCCAGCTGAAAAGTTTTTTTTAAACGTGATCATTAACCTCCACAAAGTACCGATTTTAACCCAAACTTATCCCTTAATCCATCCAAGCCGTTTTTGTGTCTAAACCTAAACCAAACCTTCACCATAAATTTGTCACATCATAAAACAGATTACTTTTTTTCTAACTGTCTAACTGTCTGAATAAGGTGTTTTCAGGAGATTTTCAGGAATGAGACTTTAAGTGATGTTGCTTCCTGGAAGTGACATACATCCAAATAGTTTTGATTTTGATCACTCGCTCCTGCGCTCCATGAGTGACAGAAATTGAGAATCTACCATAAGGTCTCAAAATCACAGCAGTAACAAAGAACACCAGCCTCTTCACACTAAAAACTATTCATAAATTGTCACAGCAATTTCAAAAATATCACAACAATTTGTCAAATGCTGAAACGGGTACGGCATCTTCTTTTCAGTGTCTCTAGTATGTGGAAGCTGATCTTTCTTTGTTGTAACTTTACCAATTTTAAAACCCCATATGGGAATAAAATCACACACAGTCTCATAGTAGGAGGAAAAGATTGGCTTTTGTATTATACTGTGTGCATGTTACTGCCTAGCTGTGCTGTCCATGAGGGAAGGCCTGCAGACGGTGATTGATTGCCTCAATCGACCTGCTCCAGACAATCTCCATTATGGTTCTACGTGAGGAGACTGCGCTGGGCCCTTTGGGAGACAGCACCCAGCATCACGCTGTTGCCCTACCTACCTCCATCACAGCCATCTGTAAACATTTGTCAAGTGAGAGGCGGGGAGGGCTGGAAGGGCTGGGAGAGCAGTGATGAAGCCTCAGCTGCTGTTTGTCTCCAGTTCTTTGATATCCTCCAGCGCTCCTTTCTCACTCTAGAGGTAACTTCCCTTCTCTTGAACCAAAGGTTAAATTCCATTTTCCTTAAAACATTTTGTTTCCTTACATCAAACTGATTCATTGCCCCATTTTTGCCAGTTGCACACTGCATCGCTAATATGAACAAAATCGAAACATCAGTGTTGGGCAAGTTACTCAGAAATTGTAATACTGTAAGTTACTTATAACTTCTACTAACTAACTAAACTAAATAACTAATATTTACTTATTACTGGGTGATAAAAGCAACTAGTTACATTACTATATGATTTTCACTGACTTGAACAACATAAGTCCCGTGCCACTGACCTGCAAAATAGTCGCACATTCACCTCAAGCATGGTGCGTTCAGTAACGCAGCGTTGGTTGGATTAACTGTAATATAATTGCTGTTTTGGAAATAGTCATCTCTTACTGGGAATCGAGTTACTGGGAAAAGTTACTGAGTAACGCATTACTGCCCAATACTGCTAAACATAGGGTGGTATAAATATCTAACCAAAATGAAAGCTGAACCTGGCAACGTTGACATCATCTCCAGAAGGTCAGGTCACAATGTAGATAGACTTTGTCTCAATGTGCAGTCTTCCACCTTTAAAAATGATTTAATTTCTACATCCTGACATTTTTGTGAATATCTGTCTTCCAAGAATTTCAACGCTAATGTTGACATCTGGGCTAAGTACAAGAAGTCCTGCACACATTTGTTCAAATTAACTTTTTACTATAAACATATATATACTATATGCTATATTAGTATTACTATAAATATATATACTATATGCTATATTAGTATTACTATAAATATATATACTATATGCTATATTAGTATTAGTATTACTATAAATATATACTATATGCTATATTAGTATTAGTATTACTATAAATATAAAGTGTATATACTATATATACAGTATATACCATCTCATAGATAGTCCAACAGTCTGCACTCACACACAGTGTGCTCGAATATTTCATCATGAATGATGCATTATTCCTGCTCTGGTTGGCACCATGGAAATGAAAAGAAATGAAATGAAGTCTGTCTTTCTGAGGGCAAATGATTTAGGAGTATCATCTGTGTAAAGTGTAGTGTTGGTCACATTGGCCAGACAACACATCAAGCAAACTGAATGGCCCTTTTTATAACTCAATAACTATTTATAAAACTAAATAACGTACTGATAAATATGTAAAGAAGCCTTCGCCGTCTGCTGTTTGTGCTGCTCGAGCCGAGTTTTCTCTTCTAATGATGCAGGACATGTGGACCACAAAATTCTTTACTTGGGAGGGACAATCATTCGGCATAACTAAATACTGCTCATTATGCACACATAACTTTTATGTTGCATATAAAAGTACTTGACAACACTATTACATTTAGTTCCTACCAAGTTAATAGCTGTAATCTGCAGGAGTCAAGTGATCAGAGAGGTTGTGAACCCCCAACTAAGCCAAATATATGCAATGCATAATGCTTTGCATGTATATCTACAGACAAACAACAGTTTGGTTGTGAACTTAATTTGAGGCACTGTGTTCATATTTCTTTCTGCTCCAGCATTTCGTTTACAGAAACAATGATGTGCTTTTTTTCGACTGTGTGAAGAGTTATGAGAACATCTGGAGCATGCATTTGCTGTTTTTCAAATAGTTTTGTGGCTTTGTGTCTGTCTTTATTTCAAACCTGGCACTAAAAGTGCATCAGAACTATATTTTATACTTTGAAGTTCAGCTTCAGTAATATGCTGAAAGGATACAGAGAACCAAAGATGACCACTAGGTGTCAGGATGGAATCATAATTCACCACAAGACCATGAGACTAAACAACCTTTTGAGAACGTAAAAACAATGAAACAGTGATTGCAGCATATAAAGCATAATATCAAACTATTTTGCATACATGAGAAACACTTTAACATGAGTATACATAAATGACAGGAAAGCAAGTGCTAGTCCCAGTGCGTCTTTCCTAGATCAAGTTGGTAAAATGATCAAAATTCTTGAATGAATTGCCTTTTTAACTTACGTTGAGTTCCGTGAACAAATGAGATGGTGATGAGATTTGGTCCCCCCTGAGGGTGTTTGGGTGAGAAGCATCCTGCTGTTGATCAGCTGCTATCTTAAAGCCACAGTGACTTGATGGCTTTCCACAGTTGTGTGTTTTCTCGCTGCAGACTCGTCTCTCTACAGGGCCCTGCAGCCAACAGAGGGACCGCGATATCAAATGGTGAAATTTGGTTCAGACATTCATGTTTCTTTTATTATTTAATTTTATTTATAATCTTTGTTTAAAAAGGAATGTCCTATTGAGAATCTCATTTTCCATGAAGACCTGGCCAAAACACATAGTTACAGACAGAAAACACAAAAGGAGACAAATTAA